ATGTACCTTTCTCAAAAGGGACAAAGGGAGCACAGTTCATTATCAACACTCAAGCCCTGGTTACCCTCAAAGTTTTTCTTTAGTTTTTATGCAATTGTTGCTGTGCCCAGTGGAACCTGAGCAGCTGGAACAGCACTAGGGAGAAGCTCAGTGCCAGCCAAAGGGAGTGTGTGAGCAGCCTTGGAGGCCAATCTGGACATTCCCGTAGTGCGGGAAGCGCTCGGCGTTTCCCCCCGCGCGTGGCTGGGCGCACGGCTCGCAGTGCTGCTGCTGCAGTGCGAGTTGGGAAACACAGGTACCAAACTGATGCACACAGCAGTGCCACAGAAAGCAGCAGCGCATAACCCCCCCATATTCTATGGCAGTATTTCATAAATGGTCCAAAACAAAGGCCAAATTGCCTTTCTGGAGTTTCATTACTGATGAAGACTATGAAGTAATTACTATAAACTACTAAAAATGTTTAATTACAAGCTTATAAAAGTAATTAAAGTAGTTCTAAATTGAAAGATGACATCACTGCAGAGAATAACATAGCAGAGGAATGCTTTCCCTGTTGTTTCAAATATTGAAGATAAAATCAGTACAAAAATTGAATTTTTTTCATTGTGCTGCCCATTGTTATACATTTAAGGCATGAAAAACAAATGTTCAACCATACATAACTCACTCCAAGTATCAAATTCACATAGATCCATTATCTTGCGTGAATTCAACTGTTTACATTGTCATATACAATAGCAGTCTTAAAAGTTGTTTCTTTTTTTTGGTTCAGCTCTTTCATCATTCAGTAGTTAAAGAGTGTTTTGAAGAAAGAGACAAAAGCCTCCCTGTGTGAAGGTAGATCTTAAATAGCCACACCTGAGGCTACAAAACGGAGAAATTGTTATTCATGCTACATTTTGAACTGAAGGTTCTGTAAAGCAGGTGATACATTATTTTCCATTGTGTATCTCTCCTCTGTGCTGTTTGACCTAAAAAAGGGAATCTCTCCCAGGGCTATAAATAATGCATCATAGTCATTAAATATTGATCTTGCTTATACCATTGACAGCTGCGCAATTAGGCTTGCTGCTTAAAAATAGCTTCTTGTACATTGCCCATAATGGGACAGCGTTTACATATTCTCTTTGGAAACTACATTGGTTAAATTTAAAGGTGATGTGTGTTTGTGGGGCTGCTTGCTAAGTCACAGGACTTGTTCATTACTGTCTCATAAATCAGTAACTCTTGCTATAAATATCCTATCCTGGACACAATTCTGCGCTCTTTACTCATGTATCTATATTTGTCTAACACATAACTATATTTAGGCTTGCAAAACCCAAATTTCAGTAAGAAAAAACCTGGCACTATAGCACAATGCTATAGGATAACTTGAATCTCAGATTAATCAGATTTCAAGTGCCTTATCTATTCCAATGACACAAATGCTTATAGCACTAGCACACAACAGAAATGACAGAATAGTCTTTTAAGTCTAAAATACAAGGGAAAACTGAGTTGCCACAGTTTTTAAAAGCATAGCTATTTCTAACTTCTTTGAAAATAAGATTAATATTTATATGATTCAATGGTGCATTACTTTAGCTTATCCAGCCAAAATTCAGTTTGAATTCAGCATAGTTATGTAGATGCAAGAGAGCAGAAGCACTGTGATAAATCAGGCCGAAGATTTCAGACATTCTAAGAGAAATTTGCACTCCAAGTAATTTTTTGTTTGTTTGTTTTACTTGCAAGTGCCCATGAAAAGTATAGTTTAGTTTTTCTTTCTGTATCTGAAGGAATGGTATCAGAAATCTACCTATCACAGTAATATAGCACATATCAGAGAACCTAAAAAAGTATGCAGTTTATGCATGAATTTAACGGTATATTTAATTAAAATATTTTTGAAGCCATCATAATCTAAACCTGAAAATCTAAAAAAATCTAAAAACATTTTAGTAGCCAGTTGTACAACATGGTACATTTTCATACCCTCATGTTTTATCATTCCATACTGTGAACTTAGTTCTGTATCTTTCCAGCTCCTCCAGCAATAATGCTTTGCACTTTTTCCCAGATAAACATCTGGAGAAAGGTTTAATATCTTAGGGGTTTCTTATCAAGGTGGAGCTTGCTTCATTAATTCTTAGATGGGATTATAAGAAACAGAAATAAACGTTATTTATTTTACAGAACCTGTTCACAGTGATTATGCTTAATTCTTAAAAAGATACCAGATATATCTGTGAATTTGTATGTTTGTTAATTCATCCACTAACAGTAAGAAATTATTGATGAAATTTCAAATAAAGAAATCAACTTTAACTGCTCTTGCTAGGCTTTCTATAGTGCAATAAAATAATTCACTGGTAAAAGCCAGAGGAAAAATAAACTTCAAGTACACTTGCAATTTTTCACTTTTTATCAGAATATTCTTGAGATCCTAAGCAAATAAAAATTAATGAAAAAACATTTTATGAAGACTATAAAAAACAAGATTACAACGAGGGAAAGAAAAATCTTGTACTACAAGAGCATGTAATTATTTCCAAGATCTTGGGGTCCAGTTACAGCATGTTTGGGATAATATGTTGAGAAGCTGTCAACTCCAGTGTATTGTCACTGCAAAGTCATTAATTACTGCTGGGTGCTGTGTCAGTCAGGAGCCAGTAGTGATCTCCTGGCACTGGTCTCATTTAGATGTTCCTGTCTGTGTGTGTGTGTCTCTGCTCTGACTGAAGCAGGACATGGGGTAAATCGTAACAGACATTTGCTCTGACATCTGCCAATAAATCACCACACAGACAGGGGACACTTTTAGCCCCAAACACCCCCAGAGGGAGGGATGGTTTATTAGCCAGTCAAGTCTAGAAGATGACCCTAATATAACAAAGGGCTTATACAAAATATAACGATATAACAAACAGGGGAAAGAGCAGTGATTTCAGGGTAGGATGCCTCTGGAGACCTCAGCAGGGAGGCCAGCTGTAAGCAGGGAGATGGGAGCAATTTCATCCCACAGATGGATGGCCCTCTCTGGGGTGAGCTCTGTGTCACAGGCCCACAAGACATGCTGGTTGTCTCTGGGTTTTTGTTCTTTTGTTTTGTTTACATCCAGTGGTGTAAAAGCATTAACAAAGACTACTTGAAAGTAATTTTGTCAGGAATTGAAAGTGAGACAACTGGACATAAATATAGAAAAGGGACAATTTTTCTGAAAAATAGCCTGACTTTAAGCATAACTTGGTTGTGTTCCTTATTTTCTAATCTATGTTCTTTGTAAGAAATGTATCTTTTGGAGTTATGTCTTTTGGAATTATTAATGAATAAATGCTTTTTATTTCCTTTTACTTTATTATTGGCCATTAAATGGATAGTCACATGCCTTCAAGGTAAATGGATAACAAAAAGACATTTCTTACTTGGTATATTAATGAAGTCACCTGGGAAAACAAGTAGAATAGCTTCTCATCACAGCAGCATCTGAGTCCAAAGAGTAACATAGCAAGCTGTCATTTCAGCTACAAAGACTATGAAGGAGAGCTGTCCTTCAGTGGCTGACAGCAATCAACTATGGCCCTCTGGTACATACAAAGATACTGGTGGAATCCTGAGAGTCATAGAAAGTATATTACAGGTGCATATTCTAAGGTAAATAGAAATACAAAAACAAAGCAGAAAATTGATGGTCCTTTCTTCTATCCCTTCCTTTCTTCTTTCTCAAGTTCTTTTTGCCAAACACTGAATACAACTTACTGTGCACACAAAAGTATTTCCTGTAGTGTTGGATGATCTTCCAGCATGCTGATTCCAGCAATACTTCAGTAATCTCATCTTCAGCATACACAAGTGTGGGTAATCATACCAGTAACTACAGGGGAGGGAGGACATTACACCCCTATCACCAGGTATCAATACAGATACCAGGCACAGCCATCATTTGGGCAATAATCTACAAACTAATTAACCAGCAAGAGCTGCCCTTCCTCAGCCCAGATCACTCAGCAGTATCAGCTCCATGCCAGCCATGTGTTCCCCCTTTCACCACAGCCATCCCCGTGGTGCAGAAAGCAGGTTGCAGCCTGACAGCCAAGTGCCAAAATAACCACCCAAAAGCTATTTTTCAGCCAGACAGATGCTAGGGCTCTAGAGCAGGGAATGCCAGCAATGTGGGGTCACAACAGTCCAGATCTCCTTCCCAGACCTCTCTACAGTCTCTGATACACTGTGGGTCCAAGAGACCAACAGTGATAACCCACCATGAGAGCCCCCCAAACAGGTTTGAAGAGCCCTCTACTTGCATTGCCTCCTCACAGCCAAGGGAAGCATCACCAAATTTCCCAAGTGCCTCCTCAAGCAGGAAAAGACAAACAGTCTATCACAAAAGTGGCTCTGGAGTGCTGGCAGTGATGAAAGCTCAAGGTCACTGTTCCCCCACTTTCTAGGCCATGGCAAGGCAGGATTCAGTAAGAACATGTAATTATTCGTCCCTACCAATGCTACCCTCAGAACACATCACTTTCACATTCTGCCAAGGCTGCTTACAGGAATTGGAAGATCCCTCACCTTCCTGTCCAGCCTTCTGAGCTTATGCACAATCAGGATAGTGAATGCTCCACTTTTCTAGTAAACACAGGGCAGCTTCCATGCTATAATAAAGTCTCAAGTTCCTTTCTTTTGCTCTAGTCTCTCTCTCATCTCCTATGTGGTATGACTTCCCTGTGATGGTTCCTGGTGAGGAGGCCACCAAACCCACACTGACATGCAGTGCCAGTAGCTGGTGTTGGGACAATGGGACTTTGCTGCTGTGCACCCACCACGGCAGCTCCTTATCCTCTGAAAGAAACTTTCCACCTCCCTGCTTAACAGCCTTACATGTAATATATCCATTGTACATAATTTTTTATTAAGATTTTCTGCTTATGATGTGAAACTTCTCTCATATAATCTAGACAAATATTAATTTACTGTTACAGTTTCAGAAATAAGTATATTAAAACCTTAAAGCTTACCTTGAATTTATCAACTTCTGCCTTCGAACATGTTGCATGATAAGACAACACCTGCCCCAGAACAAAAGATAAAAGCCATTTTTGTACACTTGACAAGTAGCAATATCAGGGCTCTGTACTGCAGTCTAATCAATTATGTTTAAAGCAAATTTAATTAGCATTTGTGTAATAATTCAGTTCTGATTGACAGCATGTAATAGCTAATTACAGGTTATCAGGCATACATTTGGCAGTTACACTGCCAGGAGTTTTATAGGGAATAATGAACAGTAAGTAATTCAATATTATGAGAATTCCTACATTGTTCTCCTGAAGTTCTACAATCAAAAGAGAAAGAATTTAATGCAAAAATAACAGTAGATTTACAGACTTTTAATAGTGCCTTTTGCTATACTGAAAAGCTTTAATGCCTATACCAGTGGCACATCGCTGCATCCAAATACCAGCACCTCTGTGCTGCATCTGGAATTCCCTTCAATACATTCTGGAGATGGCAGCATCAAATAAAATGTACAAAGTACTGCACACCTGCTCTAATTACCTCTTAGTATGCAGCCATTTCTCTGTAGTGTGTTCTGTCCTTGTGGGCTAACACTGAACAAGCACTGCAGAAGGCCAGGGAGCCTTGGCTCTGGACCCACCATGGTCTGTCTGGCTGTGCATGGGATGAGCTGCTGGTCCAGGAGTGAGCTCCCAGAGCCAGAGCACTCCCAGCAAGGACAGCTCCTCCTGCCCACACCTGACCTGCTGATGTGCTAAAGCTTTGGTACAGACTTCTCACTTTGAAATCATTTTCATCTATGAATGTCTCTGTTATTCACACAAACACCTAAACTGTGTCTCACAGGGCTTTGATTTGCAATACTTCATGGCAGTAAGTCCCAATATGTATTTACTCTTATCAGTTTTAGAGATGCCACCTTTTACAGTAACAGGGATTCATTCCTGCTCTGTAAAAGAATAAATAACATAAACTCATTTGTTCTGTACCCCGTTTTACTTTGTATGATTATACATCATGTCCTTTCTCAAATAGTATCTATTTTTCCATCTAACCATATTGCAACTTCTCTCAGAAATTGGTAAGATTAGTCAAATTACTTCTTCTGCTATGACAGATTACACTTAATACCAAAATTCTCATCAAGCTTCTTCTTGATCTATGTTCATTATATCCCTCTATATTTTTACAGTCTTCCTTAGTATTTATTATTCTAATATTTAAATAATTTGCAAATTTTGTGTCCCTAGTATAAAAAAAGTATTTAGCCTCGCTTGGAATCATGGCAACATTTCTGATCATTTATTTATGCTTTGCTCATCTATTTATTAGTCAGTCTTATCAGAATACCATATGAAAACCTGTATCAGGATATATGGATACAATAATAATACAATAATATTATTATGATATATACAAGTTCATTCATTTTACATCTGATATCAATGTAATTTTCAAGTGCCATTCATTACCATTATAGCTAAATACCTAAACACTAATGAAGTGTTTAACTAAGTATTCTATTAGTGAAAATCCAGTCTTTCATCTCATACCATTCTAGTGTTCAGCACTTTTCTCCTGCATCTTCCATCACTTTATGCAAATGTTATCAAAAGCTGTTTCCCATTTTTAGAAAGAATTACTCTTCATGGAAGAATAATGGCTATTTATCAATTCTATACTCTATATGAAAGCTATATGGTTATTAGTCTTTTTTTAGATCAAAGAAGGAAGCTGTAATTTAAACCAAAAAAATTTGATTTTCTTTTATTTCAGCAGCAACTAACAAACTTCTGTGTCAAGTTTTATCCCTATATATCTGTGTGTGACATCTAGCACTGCTTGTTTTTCTTACCAGGAGGAGCATTCATTCTAAGGTATCATATTGCACAAATTCTGGGATGTATGAAGGCTTGCACTAATTCATGGCTATGGCATGTAAAGTACAAGGGATCTTGCAAGAGACCTGGACAAGTAAGCTTTTAACTTTTCCTCCTACATGGATAGATATATACAAATAATAAAGAAAGCTGCTTATGCTTAGAATTTCTAACACTGATTGTCTTACGGACTTTGGAAAGCTTTAATAGGCCTGTGTGCATCACAGGACACAACCCCACTCTGCTGATTAATATCTCAAACCCTAAAGAAAAGAAATAAATCCTCTTTATAGTAATTCAGTTGGGTTTGGCGTTTCTTTTAATGGAAAGAACTTTGTAACTCATTCAGGCCAATGTTATTTTTGTGATCCTTATTGTAATGGTGAGTACTGGAGAAACTCAAAGGAGTTACACAGGCAAAGGTGCACACATCAGGGATAACTAGATCATTTTCTTCTCTTATCACATGGGAAATTTAAAATACCAGTATCTTAGTGATGTTTCCCTTTCCTCAGAGCAATGTTTTAAGATTAATCAGTCCTGTATAGTGCTTTTAGAAAGATCTGAAAGTTCGATTTGAACCACTCTTAATTATTGTTGTAGGAATAATATAAATTTGTAAAGCTATCCTCAAAACTCCAGGCTTTTTTCTCACCAAGATTATTTTTAATATGATAATGTTTAAAATTATATTTAAAATCTTATAACAGACAACAGTGCTATATTGTTGAATCTGGTTAGAGAAGTTTAAATAATCACAGTATTTTTAAATATAGTGGGCTCTTTTACATGTGACAGTTAGGAGCAAAAATGGTTTCACAAAGATGTACACATACGTCAAGAGCCACAGACTGTTTTGCCCAGGATTTCTTCACTTGGTCATACATAATTGTGTTGTTGATACCCAGGCCACAAAAAATAACAAAAGCCTAAAATTTAAAAAGAGAAAAAAAGAGAGTCAATTATGAATCGGTTATAATACAGGCACAAAGATGAATACTGGCTTAATCATTAAAAGAAATTGCATGGAAATATTAGGAACAATCATGTTTAAACAGGCTATTTTAAGAATGCAGGTGAGTCACTGGCCTCCAGATGAGAGATTAGATGCCAGAAACTTGTTTTAATTAGGACGCCACCTTCTAAGTGAGGATTACTGAGAATTCATGTCAAACCACAAGATATTCTCCCCCCATCCCTGAAGTGGACTGAAGCAGATTACTGAGAAATACCAAATGCTACTGAAAATGTATGTTAATGTTGAACTGAATGCCTCTTACTTCAAACAGCCGCTGGTCAGCATCGTCAAAGGATTTCCCATCAAGCCTGTTCAACACTTGAGCTACCCCTTCAGAAAGAGTTAATATGAATTATAATCTTCATTCATTCATGCACAATGCAGAATGTTTTATTCATTGGTAAAATGTAAACCACATATTTCAAACTGAAAAGCAAAATGCAAATATTTATTCTGAAAATAATTAGACACAGATGTGCAATAATTTTACTGTTTTGATATCAGTACTTTCAGCTGTTATTCTTTCCTCTCTAAGTATAGTACTGAAAATCTAAAAGTTACAGTTTTTCACAAAAGGTTAAAGATCTATTTGAGAAAGAACTTGATCATTTTGCTAACAGCAATCACACAAGTTATCTTAAAAATTTGGAGTTACCAATACAATTTACTGAAACAATACCTTCATTCCTAAAATCATAGTTAATTCAGCATCATCGGGGTATATAAACCCCTTTTTACTCATGACTGGTTCATCAATTTACTGAGCCATTGAAAAAAATGCGTTTTCTGAACTAATGCTGATTTCTACTGCAACAAACATTTCTATTTCATTTAGCTACAATAAGCCTTTAGAAAAATACTTTAACAGTAATCAGCTGCCAAGAGTCCAGATTATTTCCTCTTGAAGATAATGCGCAGTTCACAATAAACAACAGGACGTATTTTTAAAAGACTCCCACGTCATCTCTGCTAAAGCAGCTCAAAGATCCTGCGTGACACAAGTGCCTTCAGCAATGCACTACTGATCTCAGCTCTCCCTGACAGCCACAATGCACAGGGATCTAACTCTTGCCCTGACAGTGTAAGTCGCAATGGCTTTGACGTCAGTTCTTAGGAGGAAAGTTACCAGGGGAATCTGGCACTGGTATTTACAAGCACTCCTTTTTGTGCCAAAAGCACGTAATAGCACAGGGCAAACTGCTGGCGTAGCATAGCTGTGGAGCTATCAAAGATCCCCTAAAACCCTGTCACATCCTGGCCCAGCAACCACCACTGCAACAGGCAACCCTGAGCACTGCCACAGCCCCTCCAGTAAATCTTCCCTGACTGCGTCCAGAGGTTATCATTAGAGGGAAAAGACCACTTCACTTGACTGCAGAAACAGTTGCCCATGTGCTAAAGAAGAAAACCCAAGGAAAACATCAATGCATATAAAACATTTTTCACTAATATGGTTCGACTTTCTGTTTTCATCTCATTAAAGTTCAGTACAATATGTAACTTAACAACAGCACAGCAGGAAAGCTGAAAAAGTCCATACAGTATCCAAGTCAAAACATCCCTTCTTGGATACTTAGCATGCATCCTAGGCACTGTAACTTCTTAACAATATTCAGCTGGGAAAAAGAAGAAAAAGGAACATAGAATTAAAAGGATAGAACTAAATTTATATTAGCACAAATATTACGCAGCCACGAGGAAAGTCTTACCAATTATTTGGTGGGTGCTGTTCCATATAGGGACACATAGAACAGATCTTATGTGAAAGCCAGAAATTTGGTCAGCCTAAAATGTAGAAATGAGAGCTTCCATTAGTGGTGCTGTTTCCAGCCTTTTAAATCACAGTCATAGAAATGTCAAGGAGTGAGTTTACATTATAAATGTCATTTCATATTAATCAGCTCTCAGAAAAAAATCTGCTAAAACTTCATCCACAGTAGCCAAAAGTCATGATTATTCTAAAAATTGTCAAAGAAAATACAAACACTGGCATCTTTGCCACATGAAGCTTACACTATTTGACTCTGATTTGGCACTAAAGACCAACTATAATCGAGGCAATGTCCAGACAAATTCTGGATTACTTACACTGGTGGATTAGCAGAGATAACTTTCACTGAACGAGTTTGCCTTAGAAGTACTCTTCCCAATTGTCAAACTGAAACTGGACTTAGCAAGGCAGCTGTAAAAGGAGGCTTATGGGAAATACACCTTTTCAGAAGAAAGGTGAGAGTAAGTAGGGAACTTTGCAGAAGTGCAAGTTAGTAAAAAATGTAAGGATGAGCCAAACCCTAGATTTGAGATAACTGGTCCTTTCATTCCAATGCCAATTTACTGTTTTCTATCTAATACAGTATACAACTTTACAGTTTATTTTTTACAGTATTTTAAGTGTCACTGATTCTCTTTTTTCTACAATTAATAAGGGTTATTCTTTAGTGCCACCGCTGTGAAATCTAATGAACAGAAAACAGTTTTTCAAAAGAGATTAGAGAGTGGAATGAGTCCACTCACAGAAGATCAGGAGATGTTCTCTTACTAGAACTGCCACTGCTAGAGGCAATCTTTAATAGAAGAAAACTAAAAGACCAGCAATAATTCATATACAGGAAGCAGAATAGGATCACTGTGATCTCCTAGGTAGCAAAAGATATAGCCCAGGTTTTAATTAGATTACTGTCTATTTATACATACTCAGAACTCATCACTGAAACCAGTGTGGAGTGACACCAAAATCCTGGGTAGCAGGGCAATAACTGATTCAGATGTATGTCTTAAAATGAACTGCAAAATACTTTTGTATAAAATTCTTGATGAATGAGTTGAAAATTGAGCATCAACATTTGCAAATGAGAAGTAGTGTTCTGAGAAAAAGAGATGATTTTCAACAGAAGCAGAAGAACAGAATTTCTGTTCATAACTATAAACGTATGCTTGATTCTATCTAAGTAATGAGGGATACTATATTCCTCTTACTACTCTTGACTGAAAAAATAATTTAGCAGAAAAACTGAATTCAAGAATTAAATTTTCATAGGAACCCATCAAAAGAAAATTATTATTGCCCTTTATATAATTTTCTTTATATATATTGGGCAGTGCCTCCAACTTGGAAAGGACTAAGTGTGAAACAAATAAGAGATAGCTGAATTATTCAGGACATGATATAATACAGGTACAATTGCAAACATCATGGACTGGCATGCTTTAAGTTACCACATCTAAACGCCCCAGGCATTAATTGTACTTCTTACAATTCTGAACAGATTAACATCAATGCAGTTCTCCTTTATACTTTTACAGTAGGCCTCTTTTATTTTTTCTTGTTTCTAAAAATTCTGCTGGTTTGAGAGATAATCCCTTTAATGACATGTGGAATAAAATTGGAACCAAGCAAACTCTCAACATGAAACACTTCCAAGAACACTTACTGTAGTAATATATTTTGGGAAGCTTTCTGACCAAGGCTGTGATTAATGTGCTGTCCAACTGCTGGCCAAGTCCTCCATAGTAATGCTGGACTAGAATTCAGTGAAGATTTTTTCCTTCCATATGTTTCTAACATTTATTTAGATGTTAAGTATACTTACATTTTTATCTGTAGCTACACCTTTATAACAGGAAATAAATACCTTAAGATACACAAAAACTTTTATTGGGAGTGATAAGTATCTTGAAGAAGTACCCAATTCAGTGTGTATTTGAGCAAATTAAACTGTTGGTTGGCTAAGTTAGATCACAAACAACATTTGTCTGTCTGGATACCAGCTCTGTTTGCACTCTGTCTGTGTACAGCCCCAGTCACCCCAACAGCTAGCAATGCTGGTGCTGATAACACTGAACACCAACAAATTTTCAGCAATAAAAATCAGTTTGCATAAATATCAAGGCAATTGGTAGGAGAAGTTATCATGTATGAATAGGAAAATCAAAGAATCATGGACAAAGTAACTGCTTTAAGTCATACACTAATTCAGTGATTTGTGCTTACAGTATAAAGCTGTGTCAACAACAAAAGACCAGAAGGATAACTTACTGGATAGAAAAAATAATTTAAAATAAACATTCACACATCTCACAGCCACTCGGATATAAACCCAAAATTTTGATATTAGTTGCAGTGCTCAAAAGTAATGTAAATTACATTTGTAAAAATTTTTTACCTCAGCATCAAAGCGAGGATCCTGATAGGCATCACTGATGTTCACTGGGAGACCTGTGGAAGCGACGAGCTCAGCAATGCTATTATTTATTAGCCAGTCAGAATAAGATGATGATTTTTCCATGCTGTCTTTGAAACTATCAAAATGCAGGGCAAGGGGAGAAAAGAATACAGTCAACGTTAATTGCAAGTCCAGAATGTCCTACATGCACATTTATAGGAACAGCAGAACCATTCACAATTATTAATGGCTACCAAAAAATTAACTATAGAACAATAATTTGGTATTATTGAAATGGTAGTTCAAAAATTCTCTCCTTTATATAACTCTTTCTATTGAAAACAGCATTAGTATCTCAAGTAAATTAAATATTTGTTAAATTTTACCCATGAACCAACAGTGGATTATGTTCTAAGTCTCATCTGAAAGAAAACTTAATATGCTTAAAAGACTATAAATAAAAATAATAACGATTTACAGAAATCTAAAGAAATCAACTTTCATTTGGGATAAGAATTAGAATTTTGAGTGACGGGAATACATGTTACATGTATACTTTGACAGAGACCTATATATAAATATAATGAGCTAAGTAAAGAAATCACATTTATAATTTAAAATTTAATTCATAATTTAATTTATTTTAAATACTTTCGAAGAAAAAAAATATTTAAGGGTAAGGATCTAATTTCAAATACATAGTTATCAGTTTGTGACTTATCTGAATGGTAGTATCATTATCATATAAGACACATAAATCAGGACTCTATTATGGGTGTCAAGCACTTTAAGCAGCAAATTAATTCAAGTAAAGGAAACAAGATAAAAATTCATGAAGAAGTTTTAAAAGCGGGTTCTATTTTGTTCTCTCCATTCCTCACAAGCACTCTACACCCATACTCCAGAAGACAGGCACATCATCCCAGGGACAGTAAAACAGTTGGGGGATTTCAGCACTTCCTCTGTACCAGCCCAAGTGGGAAGGAGAACAGGCATTTTTGCCCACACAGCTCATACTCTGGCCCAGGCAGGAGAGCTGTCCACTACCACTGGTACCCAGTTAGAGAACTGTCATCTCAGCTGCCTGCTAAAACATAACCTCATCTGCCAAAATTGCTGCTTCTGTGCAGGAAAGGCACAGTCCACAGCACGTTCCATCAGGCCCACCTTCATCTAGATCATACCAGAACTGAGCCCTCAAGGATTCTGAGACTTAAGTAATATTTTTTTCAAAGGGAGAGAAAATTTAGGGGTCTTGGCAAACTTGTACTTCAAGAACAAAATCGCTGGGAAAAGCAAGAGCATCAATGTGCCAGTATGGATAATAAACAAACTTGATCATGGCTTGTGATGAAAAATAGCAAATTGAACAGATAAACACAAGTGTGGCCTTGCAAGGTATTTTTTTACAAACAACACTAAAGAAAATAGATAAGAGTATTTATTATGATATTTAGGGATTTAACAGGTGAGCTGCTATCTACACATATATAAGGAGGGCAAAAGAAAAGCCAGCTTCTAAAACTGTGTGAGAAAGTATATTAGGGCATGAAATAATGTCTTAAGACCTTCTTTCTCATTTAGATAAAACTTATGATGAGAACTGTTCTCAGCCTAAAATTTCTTTGGATTTCAACTAAAATTTCAAAGAAATAATAATATTTTTCTTAACTGCTGTAATGATGAAATCGTCTTACCATTTTTAACCCCACATGAAATGTCTCATGACTTTACATCAGTTACAGCTGCAGAATGTAGAATGAAAAGGGCAAAACTCACTAGAAAAATGCTCAAATGTCAAGGGCTCGCGGCATTGTTCTGTATCCTAAATAACCTTTATTTTTCCACAATAGTGCCAATAACTCAAGCTGTGCCTGTGCAAGATCCAAGTGTGACATCATATCTGCCAGTCTAACCTTGGTCTTCGTAAATGCAACTTCACTCTCCACAGGAAAAAATCATCAAAGAAAAAGCAATGCATCTTTATGTTAAAATACACAGAAATGTATCTTTATGAATCTTATAAAGACCAGCTACCAGGTTGCATGTGTTTATTCATGTCTTGGACTAAAGTTAAAATAATCTTGACTTGACTACATGCAGAGCAGGCTACTACAAACTGCTTTGTGGCAACATGCTAATATAACTATGGTAACAAGAAATGAGCCAGCTTGGTTATCTTGACACCACTCTACATTGTTTTGACTAATCTGGCTACAGATCAAGTTTGAGAAAAACAGGAATAACAACAACATTCCTTGATTCATACTCCTGTCCCTGAATAAAAGAAATGTATTTTCACCCCCTAGGAAAGACCAACTGCTACTCTGAAACTCTTTGTCAAAAACAGTAACTTGTGATTCCTAGATGAATCAACAGATTATTTATTCATATTTAAATATTCCTATTTTTTATTGCTTGTTTTCCATTTGCTTCACCATTCCCATACCAGGACATGGAAGGGAGATATCTTCTACCCATATTTCTGTGTGGCCCTGGACTCTGCTGTCAGCTTGCACATCTTAGAAATCTTCTAACACTGCCCAATTTTCTAATGCTGTGAAATCAATCCATGAAATGGTTTATCACCATGACAGCCATTTGATGTGGAAAATTCTTCCTCAGAACCAGTATGAATTAATCTGCATAAAACCTGTGTGATAAACACTGAGCCCTGAAAGATGAAGAAATGTTCTCACAATAGCCCTGAATCCTCATCCCCTCATTTGGTATATAGGACATTTTATGTGAACTGCTACCAGTGGTGTAACCTTGCAGGGAATGATATAACAACCCCAACAAGAACAAAAAGCTCTCTTTTACTACTTAAAATTGGCCCTTTATAAATGTTTACAGATCCTACTAAGCAAAACATATACTTCCATTTTGACTGGGCTCCCAAACAAGATTTAGTCACAGGAACACAGGAACACAGTTTCTAGGAAATACATATGCTCTGCAGTTTCTAGGCTTTCCAGCTTGACAAGAGCAGAAATAAAATTTTACTGGAAACCTCTCAACACAACTGTACAGAGGACTTTTGTAAGAGATCGACAATCAAAAGTAATTTTGTAATTTTTACTTCAATATTAATCATGCAAAACAACATCTGAATGTTATCAAACCCACAGAAAGTCCATTTTCCCCTGGTTTCTTACCTGAGACCCTGATACAATATTACTGCATACATACACACACAAACATACATATATTATAAAAAATATAGGCATGTATATTTATTCAAGCAAGTCTCCATTTAAAGCAAGCAGGAATCTTGTCTGAGTGAAAAACTTAGGCTCACACTCTTCAATCAAATCTACACAAAGTTCCATAAGAAAATAAAATCTTGACCAAGCAAACTTTAAAACTATGTGAAGAATGAAGTTATCCATAACCACAACAGACATGAGCACTAACCTGTTGTCAGTATCAGCACTGCACTTTGGAGATAACAATTCAAAGGATTTTGTAAATTTCACCACCTGTCACAAAAGAAGTAACTTAAGATTGTTATTAAGATGAATAAACATCTAAGAAAACAGTAATGTAAGGTTGCTCTATTTAAACTGTATTTTTATCCAATAGTCTTAGGATAAAAATACAAATCTGTATCCTCTCAATGGAGAATTCATGTTTAAAATACACACTGTGCACAGTTCCCTAAAACTCAATATCAAATCAAATGATGTCTTTAGATTGCTTCAGAAAACTATTTTCCACAAGTGTATACGCTTCCCTTTGAAGGCTTTTGGGACATGAATTATGGAGCTTTACTCAAACTTCACTTTTTTAATACAGAAAAACAGAAAGGCTGCTTTGCATTACTATCTGCAACCAATCACACTTGAATATGTGTCAGGAGTAAATAAGTGAAACATCTTAGGAGTGGCTAAAAGTGACACTGAACAGAGGCCATGTGTTTGGATGTGTCCCCATCTTCACCTTGGTTCTGAATTGTAAAAGCTTTCTGCACCATGTACAAATGACAGTATTTTAGACATGGTTAGACATTGAGTTACTCTAAGGAGATCTATTTTGTTATATATGTGAACCCTCCAAAACAGGAGAAAGTCAGGAAAATAACTGTTTTGCCACTTGTAAAAATTACCAAGTGGGTGGCAAGATGCTATTCTCTTACTCCAAATTAACCTAAGATTTATGACCACTTAGAAAAAGTTTAAGTTTTTGTCCACATTTCATAACTTTGTCTAGAGTAATAAGAACTCATGGCTTGTGGTTTGTTAAAAGCCTCTCCAAGCTCAAAGGCAGAAGTAATACCAAGGGCAGAAAAATGAACTGCCACCCACAGCTTCTTAATACAATGGATATTTCTGCAAAAAATAAAACTCATATTATACTTATAAACACACTTATAATTTCATAAGAATGTAGTAGAACTGCACCTTGTAATTATAAAATTGGGGAGGGGGAGTGGCTAGGGGAATCTAGAAAGAGAAAATGAACTTGAAACATTAAAATTCTATAATAGAGAACATAAGCAAAATAAAAACCTTGATCTTGCTTTTAGAAAAGCTGGTATAATTTAGGGCATACTCCATTGAAAGTTCTTAATTTTTATTGACTGAAATGAAATGTGAATTGTATCTTTCCTCCAAGGAAAAGAATGGGGATTTTTTTTATGCCGTACAAACAAATTTACGATTCTGTCTCTGACTTGTCACAGCCCAGCAACAAATAATTAACTTCAGAATCAGTGAGTACAAAAATAGTAACTGAATGGAAAAAAAGATATTACAAACAATGTTTTATCTTTCAACTACTTCTCAAATCAGTAGAAAGCAGGGTAGTTTATATTTAACAGCCTGAAAACACCAGAGGGAACTATCAATATAAAGGCAGACAATTTATTGCTAATAGCAATACTCATAAAATCTTTAAACATTTTTAAAAAGGCTCTCATACCCTATGAATATCAGTACTGCAAAGTCCCAGTGAAAGCCTTGTCAAAACTGTCAAATACTTTCATACAGTTTACATCCATCTGTTCAACAGAGCTCTGCAATGAAATAATTAGTCATTGGTCAAGCAGACACAGTAATTGCAAAAGACCAGAAACACTTCAGTAATTCTGAAAGCTGAATTTCTATTTCACCTGCTCAGTGTGAAAGCTTACTGCTACCACAATATAACCCTACTGAGAAAGAGACACAACAGGGGTGTTGGTAAAGTTTCAAGGTGTACCTAACTTACATTTAGGAAGAACACACTGAAAAATACCAGCTGTCCTGTACTTACATGTGCTATGCAACTATACTTACTGGTGATTCAATATCTTCCAGAAGTAATACTGAGCATCGCTCACACTTCAGCAGAGTCTGGGCCCGATGCATAATTTTCTTGACAATTTTCTCTAAGTCAGTCTGTTCCTCAAAGAGGTCATTCACTACTTCCAGTAAAGCCTGTATACAAGGACAGGAAACTCTTGTATTGGTTGTAGAATTAATAAATACATGGAGCATTGCAAAGGAGGCATCATATTGGGGATGGATTTCATAGCAGTGATCCATTGAAATCTTCATTCAAATAAAGTTCTTAATGATTATGGCAACAAAATTGAAGTGGGGGTATCTGAAGAATGAAAGAAGTATTCCTTAGCTCACAGCTGGGCACAATCCAACTCCTAGCAAACAATGGGAACCTTTCAAACTGTTTCACTTTGTTCCAAAAATAAAGAAATAGCTGTAATGCAATGCAATATGTATTGAGTTGCTTGATTTTATATATTGAATTTTCTAGGACATTTAAACTCCATTTTATACTCTTATTAACCATATTTATTCTCTTATTACCCATGTTCTTTAGTGTCAGTGCTTTAAAAGTAAGGCTTTCCCCTCTCATTTCATCAACTTTAAAAAAGATAGGCCATGTTCTTATCATGGGCCCAAAGAAGCTTGCTCTTTTCTTTATTCTCATATAGAGCACTGACACTAAAGATCATCAGTAAAGGTAACCATATAAACTGGAGTGGTCTTAGCTCTTCTAACATAGTGGTCATCAGCAAAATGTTGGCTATAGTTGCTGGAAGTTGCCACCATTAAGGTCTGTCTTCATAGGGAAGGCACAGTACAGGCTTGTGCACCACTTGGTACTTCCCAACTAACTTCAACCATGGACCAGGCAAAGTTAAACACCACCAGTAGGTCAGAAATGCAATCACGTACAGGCCACCACATTGCTGTCCAACAGCAATATTTGTTACACCTTGCATGGCTGAAGCAGCAACAGGAAATGAAGAATCTCTAACCCAATTTACCAGAATTTACCATTTTCTAATGAAGACTGGGAATGCCCCTAACACTTTTTTGCTGATTATCTCCCTCAGAAGATTAAATGCTGGCTCCTCAAAAGTCTGTATTGTTCCCTGCAGTGTGGAAACCTGTAGCAAAATTCAGGGCTTTGTAGTCAAAAAATTATTTTATTTGAACATCAAAAAAACCCGCAAAGCCCCAAACATCCCAACCAACCAACAAAAAAAAAAAAAAAAAAACCACTAAAAAAAAACTTTGGCAGACAATCTTTATTTTTCCCCACAAGTCTCCTCCAAATCTCTTCCCCAAATATAATAGGCTGTTGTCAGACCTGGACAGAAGACAAGCTCAGCCCAAGACCCACAAGAAACTCAACACCTCATGACCCTTAAATATAAAGTCATTAGAAAGGGCCATTGTTATTTCTCAAAGTAGTGAAAAGCATTAGTTTTCATAAATTAAAGCACCAAAGTCATGAATATAAAAATGTCATAGCCCAATATACAGATCCAGACTATTGTAGCTACCCCTGCCTTGCGAAGAAAGAGTAGGTTCAACACTACCAGAGGTATTGCTACTCAAGTTTTGGACCTGTGATCTAAGCTAACAAAAATATAATTTCCTGTCATTGCAGAAATGATGATAAAAAAGAAGCAAACCATTATTAAAACCCCCTCAAAATTACCATTTTGTTTCTTCAAAAAATAAAAGACCTGTCTAACAAGGGAATGACAGGGGAGCTCAGCATTATTTTCACTTCAGAGCCTCCTGTCCCAATGCATGTATGGCAGCAGCAATCATGAGTGTGTTTTCTATAGAGACATGCTGTCAAAACCCTTCACATATAGGGTTTTTTCCCTTGCTTAATTTTATAAAGATATATCCACATTATTTACACATGAACTGAATATTCAAAATCAGGATTGAAAAGGCTTGAGATTAGTAGAATTTTATGAGAGCTTGGATCTCTGCCTAAGTAACACTTTCTCCTGTGCTGTCTGTGCCACAGATGCAATTGTTTCAGCACCAGAAAACGTGGAACTGACATCAGGAAACAACAGCCACTGCTACAAGTGTATTTCCCTCCCACACTCACTGCTTGCTGCCTCAATCAAGACAGGGATCTTTTGAAAATACAATCTTTAAAATAAAACTGTCTGCTTAGCAAACACATATGCATAGCTGGAACCTGCAGGAACAAAAGACAAAAGTTTGATGTTGGTCCACTACACATTTTGCACTTACCCTGCTTCTATCATATTCTTTCCTTGAGGCTGCAAATAGCTGGGCATTGGATATGGCAATCCCACAGAAGGGGAGGTACATCTGCATCACCTAGTACGGAAAGAAACCTGCAGTCATTAAAAACAACTGCAATTGTTTATGGCAATTTCTTACCAGGAAAGAGACCTAAACTTAGGGGACGCATCACAGGAAGGTCTCAGCTCACTCTTCAGCAGAGCACTAAACACAAAACAAAATTATCATGGGCAAGGCACATCCGATGTGTGGAAAGAGATCAAATGTCTAGGAAAGAACAAATACAATTAAGTTCACAGGTCCCAGAAATCCAGGTCCTCCATAATTTCTCTGGGCATCTGTGGATTCTCAACTCTATAAAATGTCTTCTGAAGACCACTTCAAATTACTGTAGACATTACAGCTTCCCTAGAAATTATTTATTATTTCTCTGGATTGCTTTTTTGTTCTGTGCTCAAGAAGCAAGCTCAAGTCACATTCCTGATGAGGAATTCTACATCTAGAGTACATAGATTTTGGAGAATACCAGCACTGTGGAACACAGCACATTGATCCTACACTATTAGTCAGAAAACTGATTGTCTTTTCAAAGAAGGTTAAAAAAAAGTTTAAAGAACATGCTTGAAAAATTGAGCCTTAATGTATATATTTAAAAATACTGAAAAGGAGGGATTTGGAACATAGTTTGAAGTGCCCAAGATGATTTTAGGTTGGCTGTGTGAAGTTCATAAACTAGACCAGTCAAACAGTTGAATATCTATGGGACTAGAGCTTCACAGGGATGACAGTAGATCAAAGTCCAAACCCATCATTTTTTAGCCACACACTGGTAACAAGTCTGTAACATACTGCCACTCCTGAGTGGATCCCAGGCTTAGGTCTGAGATTTTAAGTAAATTTTACAGCTGCTGAATAGCCTTAACATTTGCAAAGCCTGTGGGAATTGAGGCACTCTGCTGTTTACAGAGCCAAAAGAATGCTGCAGCAGCTAACCTTTCTTCTCTTTGGTCTGTCTGTCTATTGTAAGAAATCCGTCTGTGACAAATTTTGGCATTAAGAGAGTGGCATTTGTCTTTAAAATTCTATTTAATTAGAAAAATACTGCTAACCCAGAGATGTGGGCTATTGAGACTATCTGAGGAAAGAACCCAGAAGAACAGAAACAGCAGCAACTGCTGTTGGACTTTATCTGCCTTGAACACTCCAGTGGTTCCATACCTGCTTAGTCTGTGTTTGAGTAATGATGAACTTTTGGAAAGGATCCTCAGATCCTCTGAATCTTGTACCTTTACACCTGGCACTCTGTCACAGTAACTGCAGACTTTAAGGGTGCACATCTATACTGCTAATTTGGAAACACCCTACTTTCATCCTCTTCCCATCATGATTGCCTCCAAAGGAAAATGGCACTTTAGACTCTACAAACACTTATCTTTTCAAAGAGGCAGTAATTGAAGTAGCCAACTATCACACCAGATCTACAGGACAGAGTACACAAAATGAAAAATAAAGTACAAGGGTAAAAAACTGGTAAGAAGGATTAATTTTTTTAATGGTCAGAGTTTCTCTGAGAGAGTTTTGCATATTTCAGTTTAGTTTTTATTTCCAAATGAAACAAAAAAAACCCTATCTATATTTTCTTGTAATAGTACTAAAAACCACAGCCACGTAAGAGATCGGAGCAGAAAAAGTTAACTTAAGAAAAATCTGGCCTTTAGTGAAATTTTGAATGTCATAATGAGATTGGATACATTTTAATTCATATGTAAATACTAGTATTTGTTGTCTCCACACTGGAATCTCTGTTCCCAAAATTAATGCAGCCCTGTGACAATGGAAAGCTCAAGAGAAGCTTATGAACCTTCAGGCATCACAAAACCAGCTAGCAAAAATGTCATTTTAGTGAGAAGAAAATAAAACCTTGTAATATTGACAACCACTGGTCTCTGGAACCCAACCTCCAAGGCACTGGCTCTATACAGAAATTAGCACCCATAAAACCCTGTTTTATGAAATGTTAAGAGCCACTGACATCCATCACTCTTCTCACCACTCAGACTAATTGTGTAAGGCATAGCACAACTAAGAAAGGCACCAAGTTGTTTAAGAACACCAGTAGAATAAATAAATGTCAACAATTATGAGGAAAGAAACCAAGAAAAAAACCTGCCAGGTAGAGAGGAAACACCCTGTGGTTCATTTATTCCTGTTTACCTAAGACTGACAGAACAAAAGCCTACTGTTCCTCTTTTGTACTCTGAATGGTCAAAGTGAATTTCCCCTAAACAAATTGTAATACAGCAGCCAGTACACAAAGAATGAAGATGTTTCTAATGGTAGCTGACTTCTAAATTAGACTTTTTTGACCAAAGTTGTTCAGTGGGATAGAAAGCAGTTATTGCATTATTATTTCAGATTACAGATTTAAATCTGCAGTATTAAGACTATTTTACAAGCACCTCTTACATGTTTATGCTACGACTGTGGACATCCCATACAAATATGGAATAATTTAATATTCAACTCTTATCTGTCTGAGCCTCAGACTGTAAGGAGCTGCTATTTTTATGCCAGATTCACAGTTCAGGGATTTTCCCCCCAAAGAGAATAAAAAAAGTTGAGGAAATGGCAAATAACACCATGGGATAGACACATCTTTTCCCCCCTCCTTTTAAGTGACAGATAACTAATTACTAATTTACTGGTGCTCCAAGGTAAAAACTGGCCCAAAGGTTGAGTATGCAACGTGCACAAAGTATTTGTGTTAAACTCATGGAAAAACACAATATACCCTGCAGTATACCCTTCTGACATACATAAGGTATTTTCCCTTTGTTAAACTATTTAAAAATTAGTTTTGAAGCAAAACGGAATAGATCTGAAACCGAATTTCCTTCCACATCTATTTGGAATTAATTAAAGGATAAGATTCTGCAGATTTACTAAATCAATTTTCTAAGAAAGAAAATAGGCAGAATTAAAAAAAAAAAATCAAAACCAGCTTTAACAGATGTGCCTTATTAAATTATTTTGGCTAATAGGATTAGTTGCAATGATTCATCAGTACTGTGTGACATATTGACAAACACATCAGTAAGGGTGTAATAGTACATTTTATAAAAATGGTGTTTAGGCTGAGTAACAACCTAATGAATGTGAGGAGATGTTGAAAGAGACTAGTTTTTGTTGGATTGTTTTCATGACAACTATGAAGCATTCAGATACAGTAACTTTAGATTAACAAGTTTGTAATGTGAATTACTTGAACATTCAGGGTCCAGGTGACCTGTCTCAGTTTCTCTTAATTAACCTTCCAATAAGTATTCTTGGGTAGCAACTACACCCATCTCACAAATTCAATATTTTATCAGCACAGGAAACCTATGAAAAGATGCAGCAGTAATGGGCACTTTCAATATCTCACTTTTTTCTTTTTTAAATTCTGCTGTTTCATTCTTGTATTGTATGTTAGGAGTATTAAAACACAATATGAAGGAAACAGTATAATTACAAGAAGTTTTAGAATTCAGTTATGTAACTACTTACATTTTCAGCTAGATCTTGAAGATTACATATCTTTACTTCAAAACTACACCAGTAAGATTAAACGTCTGCCCTGACATAGTTACTTTTGGCTTCCCACAGGATATATTTCCATTGCTTTAGTATCTCCACACACCTCCAGACTTGTATCCCCAAAGTCAGACCTTCAAATCCACAAAAATAACTGAAGCAGAAGCTTGATATTTGGAAGTATAAAGCAGATAGTCTTATATAAAGTTAATATTCTGCAATATTAACTACTCAGACGAGTAAGCTACAAACTGTGCTTTTTAGTGGATACTTTTATTTTATGGCATCAGTTTAGAAACACACCAGTGCTCCTCCAGAATTTTAAAGGGCAGTCTTCCATATGTTTCCTCTTCATAACCACAATTTTACAGGCCAGAAGTTCCACACCTGGTTGCACAGTTGTCAGGGCACATCAGCATCTGGACACCTACACTACAGCAGCACAATGTCTTGAGATGTGACACTCATTTTCCTTTCACATAATGAGACATCATCTATGAAAAAGTTTCTTAGTGTTCCTATGAACTGCTAAAAATTAGGGTTTCTTCTCATCACCTGGGTTTGGATTTCACAATAACTTCACACACAATACAAATCTTTTTGTCATCAGAAACAGGACAGAGACCTCTGGCCAAGCTCTTTCTGACAATGTGTGTCACCAAGAGACACACCACCTCTCCCTTCACTGCACAGCCTGGGGATGAGGGTCCTTATGGAATCTGCACTCTTCCTTTGCTGGGTCAGAAAAACCCCTGCTGGTTCCACCTGCAAAAGGCTGTTTTCTAGAGTTGGGTGCCTCACAGGAAGCAAGTTCTGAAAACTTCTCTTCTGAGAGGAAGGCATAAAAGCAACGAGGTTGCACGCGTGCAGACCTGCAATGCAGGAAGTTATTAGCTAATGGTGAAAAACAGCCAGTGCTGCAATGGTAAAATGTGCACTGCAGAGATAAAATGTGGGTTTCACGCTTGCTGGCTGGAAAGCAGCCCTGACTTCAGCCTCAGCAAATGCAGTGACATTTACCCTGCTTCCCCCACACACGGCGTTGCCCTCACGGAGCCTGTCCGAGAGCACACGCTGCCATAACTATCCACCACAGTCTAACTCACGGCTGCTGGCATGCTCCAAGCACCCCCTGCCCCTGCAAGGAAAACAAAACACTCCTGGTGTCTGACAGAAGAAAGCAGCTCCTCAGTAGTGCTTGTGTACTCACTCTGGCACAAAGTCCAGGCTGAGCTCTCAGCAAATGCCTGTCTGGTTCAGCTGTTTTCTTTAGCGGCCACAAGAGCCGCTTCTCTTTACACAGCTTGCGTGGTGAGCCTGTGGGGAAAGGAGCTAGGACAGCCTTCCTAGAAAGAGAAAAGAGGTCCTTTCAAAGGAAATGGTTTTGCTATAGTTCAAAGTGATAAATGTTTTGTGGGCATGAAACCAAATCAGGGAAGCTAGCTGCCCTTTAAAACATTTCCTAATGTGTTCAAAATAGGTTCAGAGAATGAAATATTCTA